TTTGGGCGAGTATGAATGAGAGAAAGAACAAGGTTTTCCTAATCATGCCTGTTAAGGAAAATGGAATTACCGTAAATAATCTTTCCACACTATTTGCTCTCTATGTATAGAGATAGCAATGAAATCAACATATACTTAAATATCTTGAATAATGAATTCTTACTTACTACTACGGTCTTCTATAATTAAGTATTTTATGTAAGTGTGTGTGAACTTTTCCTTTTCCTTTTTCTCTTTTTTTTTTTTCGATACACAATTTATCCTATATAACTTTTCTCTACATTTGATACACATTACGAAGAAGTATTTTCAAATAACAAACAAATATTGTTGTTAGATAACTTTTTTCGTAATTGAATATTGAAAGGATTTAAAAATAATTCTTTCTGCTTCTTTTCATTCATTCATTTTTTATATTTTTGTTAATTTTTTTTTTTTTTTTTTTTTTTCAAACGTTTCATTCAGTTTAATATATATTTTGTTATGAGGAAAGCATTTAAATAAATAAATAAATAAATTAAGTAAAATAAAAAAAAAAAAGCAGGAAAAATTCTAATACAAAAACACATATACATCGGGACACAAAACTTATGTTATGTCCAGCATTCTACAAAAAACATCCCTTTCCTCTAAGTTGCATGAATTTTATTTATACTCCCCACAGCGAGAGCCTTCAAGTTTTTTTAAATACTTCTCATCCCCTAGGGATATGATTTAAAAATCTACCACTTTTCTATTGAAAACGCGCTTAAGACTTTAAATCTCTATTTAAAGCGTGCGTTCGAGATTGAATCTTTTTTATGCCTGCTTCCTATTCAGGAAAGATTTACTTACTCAACCTATCATATCAAAGCATAAAAATATATCTAACTCTAAGTGGTTAGACAACGTTCCAAACTAGACTCGTAAACTGAGCAAAAGGACTCGAACTTTATGATCATAGGTGGCGAAGGAAAAGTGCAAATTATCACAATTTTTGTGTAGAAAAGTCTTGGTCAGCACTCATACACAACTTCATTATTTTCAAAATTAATCGGATTTGGACAATAAAAGAGCAATTAATTTCGTTTCAGACATAGGTAACCTCAGTCCAACATACATATATTTGTTAAGAGCACGTATGATATTGTTAAAAAAATGCCACATTTAATAGAATGAATTTGCACGAAACCTAACCTATTTTCGTAGAAACCAAATTCTAAAAATGGTAAAACCAAATACAGATTTAACTGTTGACGCGGAAAGATGAGCAATGAATAAATTCGCAGAACATTTCACAGACAAAACAAGTAAGAACTTCATAGTCGGGCAAGGCCAACTAGTAAACACCCTATATCATTTTCACGAAAGCCTGCAGATTTAATTTACTGCTCAAAATTTGCATTATTTTTAATCAGTTTCCCCCAATAAAAACAACTAGAAATTTGTCTTTCTCTCTATACAAGGGCTTCGCTGCTTTTTATAAGAACCACTACTCATGTTTGAGTCTAACAAATTGACCTACGTGATCGAAATTTCCCACTAGTATGGATCAATTTCCATCGTAACATGTTAAAAGTTAAACTTTTTTCATGAGAAGAAAAAATAGACCTAAGTGCCCCAAATTCGGTAAGGTTGATTTCTTTGTCAATTTTCATCATGAAATATGAGAGGGAATTCGGTATATTGCCACCGCCGAAACAAAATCTTTCATACTAATTTAGAATGTCGAAATCAAATGACTCAGCGATTTTTGGCGAGAAATTTTAAAAAATTAAAAACTTGTTATATGGGGAGTGAACTGATCCGAACTATTTTCAATAGCTTACGTTCTTGAGTCAAGACATGTCAGCGTACAGAACTTTATCAGAATATTTCAAAAATTATGACCGGTAGGTTGAACACGGTATAATAAAAAGTGAGTTTAGCTGAAGCCCTTGTGAGTGCTACATAAGCCCGGCGCAACTTAACATACCCCGTACCAAAAGTGGTGTAGGAGATAAAGAGATTACGATGAAAATGCTGAAATGAATTTAGGCATTGGTAGTTTTCATGTAAAAGAGTATATAAATAAAGTACTTGTGGAAGGCAAGAAAGGAATTAATTGAGGGGGAGGACGGGAGGCTTGAATCGTAATATTCAAACGCACAACAAGACTAAATGGTGAATATTTTATTTATATTGCATTGTTCAGAAAGTCATTTGGTTTCCTTCCCAGCAGTGGATTTAATTGAATTTTTTTTTTTTTTTTTTTTTTTTTTAAACAACATTCTTCTTCTGCTTCATTTTTATCCTAAAATACGTAATACATGTCTTATGTGTTTGTGTTTATGTTTGTATGTGTTACAAGATCATTTTATAGAATGAAAAGCGAACATACAATATAATGAGCGAACATTGATTGTAAACATCATTTTAAATATTCATTTTGTTTTTATTACATAAAGTCTTAAAAGCTAATGAAAATAGCGATAGTAAGCAATGTCCTATCAAAATTTCATTATTATTATTATTATTATTATTATTATTACTATTACTAGTTTTTTTCTCTCTGTTTCTTTTTCTCTACAGAATGAAAATCATTTCATACATTTAAATGAATATTAATTACGTACATAAGAGGCCTTAATAATAATAAAATAAGCAATTAAAGCATTGTTTTAAACGAATTCATATTAATGTTTATATGATTTACGTTTCGAATATAGTTTATTTTTTAAAAATTCTCTTAAAAATTCATTTTGCTTGCAAAGTTTCATCTCAACCACCATTTCGTTCACATATATGCACATATGTTTGGGCTATGATGGATCTTAAAGTTCCTTTCTTTTGTTTTTTTTTTTTTTTTTTTTGTTTTGCTTGCTTGTAAAGGCGAACCATTTAAAGGCAGACAGAAAAGCCAAGATTGAGATGATAAAAAAAGTGAGATCGACAAGAGATTCCGTCCGGTCTGGATTTAAATCTCAAATGCAATAAGGTTTTCAATAAAGCCGATAGTCTTAGACGCTAATGCTTTAAGACTTTATTTATCTTATATAATAAGAATAAAATATCGCATCAAGTAATGAGATTCCTTAGCTAATTCACTTATATCAAACGAAGAAGAAAATGATGCCTAACCTTTTGTCTCAATCTGTCCCAAAGATTATTACAAGAATTTCAACTTATTTAAGTCTATCTAAGTTAGTTCGTCGAAAACAGTCGCCAATCACTGTGAATTTATCCGGATCTTAAAAACACTGAATATGGAATCTAATTTCTCGAAATTATTGATATGATAATAATGTCTTGCACCGTCGCTTATAGAACGCGCTTGAACGAAACTAATTAAAAAATGAAAAATTAAAATTAAACAAAATTATATGTGGATATGTGTAGATGGGATAATCAGAATAAATTATTCATTTAAAAATATATCCGCAAAGCATTTCTTTACATGATATTTAATGATATTTATAATTAGGATAGGAGGAAAATATTTATACATCTTATAATGATTATATAAAAAATTCCATGTGCACAATAATAGCAAAAGAAATATTTATCACTAATTATAAGTTTTATTTTAAAAAGAGTTTTTTTTTTCATCTTAAATAAATTAAGCATAAGTATTAATGCAAATATATGAGAGAAAAAAAATGGATTCTCTACGGAACAAAAATAAATAAATAGTTAAATAAAATAATCTGGCCAAGAAATGATTAAAAACTAATTTTGAAATTATTATGGAATAAACATTTTTCTTAATTTTTTTTTGTTTATTTTGAAACTTTTTATTTCTATATATTTTATTACATGGCAGGTGTGTACTTCATTATTTGTCTTATTTTTTCAATTATTTTATATCTATTTTTATAAAATTTTTTAGTTTCTTTTGCGAAACAAAAGTATTTGCAGCTCTTTTTGTTTTTTTTTTTTTCGGATTACATTTTCACGTTTATTTTGTTTTGTTTTAATTTAAATTTAAAGTGGATAACATACAGACACTTAATAATGGTAATTAAAAGGAAAATAGCAGAACCTTCTTTTTTTTAAATGTAAAATATTACACATTGGCTTAGGGAAATCTCTAAAATACAAATTCTCTTTATTAAGAAAAAAGAATGAAAGGTTTTTTTTTTTTTTTTACATAGTAAGCATAAAAATTTTATTTATTTAACCATTATTTCTTATAGTCTAGGAAAAATAATTTAAAAAAAACTTAAGCATAATAAAAGAATTTGTTAGAACTTTGTACGAATACGAAAAAAACAAATAACAAAAATACATTAAAAAGAAAGTTTAAAAGAGTTTTTCAAGAATTTATTGAATTTTTTTTTTTTTTTTTGGTTTTAAATCTATAAAGTTATTGTAAATAAGTGTTAATAGGTTTCGATTGTTCTTCAAAATAAAGTTTTACTAAGACAATATTATGAAACTTTCTCCTTAAAAAAAAAAAAAAAAAAAAATTAAACAAAATAAATCGAAGTCAAGTAAAACAAAAATATTTCTTTTCAGTAGGAAAGGAAAATGGAAAATAAAAAGAAAATATTCTTTTATAGTCAAGCAATTGTAAAATAAAGTCAAGTTAAAAAAACCAAAAAAAATTTTTTGAAATACAATTGATTTTCATAATAACATATAGAATATATTTTAATCTAAAAAAGAAACTTTTTTATACTTAAAAAAGAAAAAGAAAAAAAATTTTAAATATTTCTTAACCTTCTATGTTTGTATTAGAAATTGTTTAACTAAATTTATAGTCAGTATGGTTTTTACTGTATTTTCAAATTTGTTTTTTTTTTTTTTTTTTCTGCAAAGTAAACAATAGTAAAATTTTCAAGTCAATAGCAATTGAAAATTAAATAAAAATTGCCCTTAAATTCATTATTCTCTCTATTAGTGTATATAAATTGTTTTCTTCTTTTTGTTTCAATTTTCAACTTGTGAGTTAGTGAAATCTACTACAATACGAGTATAAAAAATACAATTGTATTTTGAAATAAAAAAAAAAATATATATATATATATGTATCTATATAAAAAAAATAATAATAGTATATATATAAAAAAAAAAAAGAATAAAAGAAAATCTTAAGAGAAAAAATTGGAAATCGTGTCCTGAACTTTACGACCCTCTCTACAATTCAACGAACACTTTTTCATATTTAATTCTCCTTTCTTTTTTTTTTTTTTTGCAATTCTCTACCCGCAACCTAAGTGATAATTTCATTTCGATGAAATTTACATCTTATCATAAGGACATGTATTCAAGTTCTTCGAGTCAGCATTAGATTTTAAGTCGATTAGAAAATGTTTTCAAAGTCGTACAAATTAACCTGAATTTTAAATCAAAATTATTTTCATTTGCTTGTAGTCACCTTACATTACCTTTAAGTGTGCCTTAGTTAATTTAACATCAAGATCAGAGAGAGGGAAAGAGAGAGAGAGAGAGAGAGAGAGAGAGAGAGAGAGAGAGAAAGAGAGTAATTTCAATATTTAACACTTACTCTACTTGAAGTCAAGTTAAAAGTTTTGCATCAAGTCCATTATACCATTCAAAATGTCTTGAATGAATTTCGAAAGGAAGGGCGCTTGATTTCTCATTCTTATTTTATCTTTCTATGCAGTCTCCCCCTAAATTAATTTTTTTTTCTTTCTCACCTTTCGAAAGTTTGAGGGAAATTCTGGAGAAGATGTTTCTAAAAGATTTTGGCTACTTAGAAATACGACAAATATGACCTCACAGATATTGCATGTACGCTCGTTCTCATATAAATACATATATAGCATGTAATATGAAATTAGTTTGTAAGGAAATAGTTTGACAAAATGACATGCATTACATTACATGACATTATTAGGGCAAGTACACATTATTCATAATAATAAAATTTGATGAGCAAATCCGGCAAGGACGGATGGACGGAATATGACATATACATTCGTCATACACAGTTAACTAATTAATTGACTTTATTATTTCACCTATTATCGGATCGCATCAAAATGACTGATTTGCTCATTATATTTCCCAAAATAATGGCGCCATAAAACCCATTATGAAATATCAATGCCAAATTACCATTGACCCAAACTGCAGCTACAGCAATATGAATAAAAAATTATAGAAATTATTTTCCGCGGAGGAAAGAATATCGCGGCAGAACGAACTAAATACATCGAGTCAGACAGAGTCTCAGGCTAACGTAGAATATGGATAAAGAACAGACTACAAACAGATTACAATAAATTTCTTACATCACTCGAAATTGCAAGCGACATGTAATAATTCTTCCCCACCCTTTTTCTCTCTCTCTCTCACTCTTTCTTTCTTTCTGTCTCTCTCTATCTCTCTCCCTCTCTACTAGTATTACAAAGAAAATAATAAGATCATTATATTTTACTCTTCCATTGATGAATTTAGAAATTTCAAAAATATTGAGATTGAATTTACATCAATATGTTATGTATGTATATACAGAATACCATAAAATATTGTAAACACTCTTTTTCTTTATGCTTTATTCATTTCATGATCAACTTTAAATATGAACCAGGCAAGTGTTTTTGTAATTCATATATCCGTCATAGTTTGGAAGTTTTAGACAAAAATTCCTGCAAAATTTTCGACTGCTTTTGAGGAGCAGTAGTGATATTATGAACTCTATATGCACAAAACAGTTTCAGTATTCGTGTTTTGAAATTTTCAAAGTACGGCTACGAATTATTTGTAGGCTTCCACCTTGCTAAATTTTTAATATATTCTTCTGAAAACTATAAACATTATTGAGAAAATTTCTATTATTTTTTTAATTTAACTTAATTAAATGCTTTTGATCCTATTTGCATAGCATAGAAAATTATTTAAGTATAAAATAATGGCCGCGGTGTCGAACCGTCATATTTGTTTAAGTACTCATTATCGTTCAATTGATTCGAATGAAGTTCATTGTTCATTTTCATCAAAATTTTGAAAAAATGAAAATTTTACATAGAATTTCTTCCTGATATTCATATTTCTTCTGTTGATGTCTTAAAATTGAGAATTTTTGTAAATCGTTTGGTCGTCTGCAAGTTTTAAGTGAACCCGTCAATCCGTTACTAATAAATATGGCGAACTATTGAATTCCCCTCTTTCAGTTTTTCAAATTTCGAAACTGATGGCAACAGGGCTTAACGAAGATAGATATGAATTATTACTTAGCGGCATATTAAAATGTGTAAGTGTGTCGAAAATGGTGAATATTTTCATTTTTGACTTAATTACGGAACATATGTAACGGAAAATGAAATCAACTAATGAAATCGTAGCCGGTTTTTCCAGAGCAGATACTAGAAAGTGCCCATTATCAATTACCACGTTGAAGTTCAACGTACTTGATGCTTAAGCACTCAATGCTTATAGGTAAAGTCGTGCTTGCAGTCGTTGCATGAACAGTTTTTTTTAATCAGTATTGAGGAGACCGTCAATAATTCATTTTTGGATGAATCGAAGGAAAGCAGAGTGTGCTGCTTTATTTAACAAGTTGTACAATAAAGACATGAAAGTAGTTGTTCGAACTTAATCGCCTTGAGTATGTTTTGCGATTTCCGAAACAAGTCAATAGCAGTTACTTAATGATTGGTTGGTTGCCTTCTCTCACATTTCCATTTTTTTTCTTAAAAATTTTCTTTTTTACACATTTCTTCCGGTGTAAGTCACTTTAAATGAACCAAATAATAAAACGTAATTAAAAATATGTGTGTGTACTGAATATGGGAAAAGTTAACCTTTTAAAATCTAACTTTTCAATAAAGTACGATTTCTTGGAAAAAAAAATTTTCTTTTTTCCTTTCTTTCTTTGCTAATATATTTTTACGTAAAATATATTACTGTGAAAAGAAGCCTATACTCCGTCCACATGCATGTGACTATGCCTACGTAGTACACACTTTCTTAATATAAATGATAAAGTTTTCAGAAATTTTACTCCAAGTCTGAATTAAGTTGATGGGATAGAAGTTCAATGATTTAGAAAAAAAAAAAAAAAAAAAAAAAAAGAATAACAAAAAAAATAACATTTTCACAGAATTTTTCATTAAACTAAGAGAGTTATGGGCTCGTTTGTTTAGTTCAAAAATCATTAAAAAGGAATTAATTTTTCTTTTTTTTTAGTATAGCGCTCATACATATATATATATATATATATAGATACACACATGCACACGCATACACATATAAAAGACGTTAGCGTACTATGTGAAGTATGTTTTTTTCTTTTTTGCACCAAGTATTCAAAATGTTTGATTAGATCGACGCTGTGTGCATATGTGTTCATACACTATTTTGCAATAAATTTAATCATGTTTGAGTACAATACGCTGGGTCCTACGTTTGTAGTCATTTGATGAGCCCGCGCTAGTGCCTTGACTGCTGCTGCTACCACCACTTGCGCTATTAGTCGTAGAGGATGACGTTGACGGTGAGCTGTGCATTTTACCGCTGCTGTTACGTGCATCTAGACGTTCGAATATGTAAGTTTTACGTGAGCTACTGCTACTGTTGCTGTTATGTGCTGTAGAAGATGATGACGAGGAACCTACATCTCTAGTCCTGCTCGAGGAAGAAGATGATGTGGATGTCGTCTTCAATACGACACGGCGGTTACTAGAACTTAAACCTGACTTTTGTACATTTTGGCTGCTACTCCCACCGCTGCTGCGATTTTGTGTGGCCGCTTGCATTTTGCGATTTTTAACGATGGCTAATGATTCGGGTGAAGGAGTGCGTGACTCGTCTAGAGCACGTCTCATTGGTGGACGTGGTGGCGTTGGATCGGGTGAGGCCAACAACATATCTTCCTCATCCAACAATAAATCGTCTTCATCATAGTCCAGCTGCACTTCATCTTCACTTTGCGTTGAGCCGCGTCGCGGCTCGTGTTGTTTAATGGGCGCCACTGTAGCCGTAGCAGTATCTCTTTTAATAACCGGCTTGATAATAGCCGTATTAGCGCTTATATTTCCGCTTCCACTTGATGCGCTATTACTATTTGTCAAATGTTCAGTTAACGTCCTCTTAGCTTCGGGTAATATTTTTGCTGTGGGCACGGTTTTACGTTGCTGCCGTGTTGGTGTTGGTGGTGTTTTTCGTTCTGCATCGATCATGTCATTGTTATGTTGTGCTGGACGCTTTTTCAATGATATTATCTTACGTTCCGATATCACCACCTCTTTTAGTTTAGACTGCGTTTGTTGTTGTTGTTGTTGTTGTTGCTGCTGATGTTGCATTGTATTCTGCTGCTGCTGCTGCTGTTGTGGCATTTGCTGTTGCACTTGTGGTTGCTGATCATTGCGTTTTTCCTAAGATTTTTCAATTTGTTCAGTCAAATTTCAGTGTATATAGAGACGTTTTTCTTTTAGTTTCTATTGTAGTAGTGTTATGGAAGCGAAAGTTTTTGTGTTTCTTGAATTCTTAATTCTAGAGTTTTGTTGTTGGTTCTTTTTTCTAACTTATTTCTTAATTTCTTAGTTTTACGTTAGTTTGGTTTTTTTTATGCTACACACATACCTCATGTTGTTTTTCTTCAGCTGCTCGTCGTCGTTTCATTTCCTTATCACGCATTATTTGTTCACGTAAAGCCTTTTGTTTTTCAATTTGCAAACGATAGGCACGGGTCTCTTCATCTTCTTCCATCTAAAATTCATTTCGAAATAATTCAATAATTAAAAGCAAATTTATAATGTTTTCGAAAATGAAACTGATAATGATTGGTAACTTTTATAGGCAACAGCCGGCAAAAAATAGCGACCTCAACGTCGATTTCAATCGTTTCATTGCATTTTTCATCAATAAACTCCTTTCTAAATAAATTGAGCCCAATGAAATCGCTGTCCGATTTCAAAGAACACGACCACATGCAATCGGAATCCTACATCAATTTAAGATATACATATATTTTCTGTAGCGTTCCCTATGCTGACTTTTGAACGACACAAATGTAAGATCAAATTTAATATATCTTCATCCAACGACAGTTGATACAAAAACGAAAAGACATTGCCAAAGGTAAAGGAATAACTGCGAAAAAATTTAAAACCGATGGGCTTTGTTGAGTTTTATGAATTGATTTTACGAGCCCTTCTTACTTTTTAGCTATGGAAAGTCAAAATTAAACATTTCATATTTGCAGAAACAATAACGATCAAATTCCTTTCGGACTGGAACACTAGCCACCTTATTATTTGCTTCAATAACTTAATATTTTATTGCAATCGATCTTTTCAGAAGATTACGTGATGCTTTAAAATCTTATATATATAAAAATGAAAATTTTACCCACCTCCGACTTGTCACGTTCATTATTGCGACCTCGACTGCCCATGGAACCACCACCACTACTGCGATTATTATGAGGTGATGGTGAAAGGCTTCGGCGACGTTTAGAGTAGTTGTTGCCACTGCTTCGACTTTCATAGTCACGATCACGACTATTTCCCCGACGAAAACGATTACTACCGGGCCGATTAACACTATAGCCACCTGAAGGACGATCGCGATCACGTTCTCTATCGCGATCACGCTCCCGCTCACGGCTATTTGCTCGTCCTAAACGGCTATCACTTCCCATACCAAACCGTTCCCGATCCCGTTCACGTTCACGGTCTCTATCACGCTCACGTTCCCTTTCGCGATCTCGCTCGCGGTCCCGTTCTCGGTCAAAACGATCACGATCGTTACGGGTGCCTCCGCCGTAACCGCTATTGCTCATACTGGTGGCACCGTTAGTGCTACGCTTTGGTGGTGAATAACTTCGTTCTCGTGAATGTGAGCGTGTGCGTGAACGTGAACGGCTACGTGAATTCCGTCGAGAAGGTGAAGGAATTTTACCATGTCGTCGTTTCTCGATATGCTCACGATTTTTATTAATGAATTCCTCTTGTTGACGTAATAATTCCTCATCACTTTGCAACGCCGGTACATGGCTACTAATGGCATTCATGAATTGTGTTTCCTGAATAAATTTGCTAGTGGCCGCTTCTACTCCGCCTTTAAAATTGGGATTTATTAGAACTTTACGAGGTGCCAATGGACCAGCAGCACTCGGTGCAAGACCGCCGGCCGGTAATTGACCGACAGGGTGCTGAGAATTAGCAGTCGTTTGGGTCGGCCCTAGGGAGGCAATTTGATTTGTTGGTTGGGGTCCCGGTACTGTATTAGGAGCACGCATTGCTTGAGGAGGAGCGTTCATATAATTTCCAGGGACATTTTGCATTGCATGGGGCGGTAAAGCCTGCAAAGGCGGTCGTTGCATACGCATTCCTGGACGCATACCCGGTGGACCTAACGCAGCGTCAGGACGAAACATGTTCCTGACTGGCGCACCGAAACTGTGATTAAAGCCGACTGGCTGAACGTTGCCGCTATACTCATGGGGTACTTGAGAATACATAGCAGCTGGGTTAGGATGACGAAATGAAGTCATCGGTCCCATTCCAGGTCGAAAACCAAAAGGAGGACGTGGTCGCTGCTGCGCATGTTGAGGGTCATGAGGTGGTACCGGATGTAAGGGCCCATGTGATGTGTTTGTTGCTAATGAGGTGGGAGTAGGGGGAGGTTGCGGTGCATAGGGATTATTAGTATTATTATTAGGCGCAGGTGATGGTGGTGGAAATGGATGACCTGGAATAAGTGGATTATTGGTCGAATGTGCTAAAGAAACAGTCGCTAAAAAAGGAGAAGCGGCTGATGGAAGTAAAGGTAAATTACCGTGCGACGGAAAACGTAACAATGGACGTTGTGTAGGATGATAAGGAGGAGCAGGATTACGCAAAGGATGACCACGCAACAGAGGGGCACCATTGCGCTTCTGGTAAGGAATAAAACGGCCGCCGTGAAGTTTTTCTAAAAAAAATAATATGAATCCAAAGCTTTTGTCTTGTAAATAGCGATCCTCTACCTGGTGACGACTGTTCACTATTTAAATCCTCAATAACTATACGTTCACTTGTAATTTTTATATTAGTACGTTCCTCGCGTTCGTCTTCATAATCTTCTCGAGGATCTGATAAATCACCATGACTCATTATTACGTTACAACTTTCTTGGCTACTTTGTGCACCAGCTGTAGAAACAACGGGATCCGCTACACTGCTATTGCCAGAATTGATTGTTTGAACACCAGTTAACTGTTGTGTTGTTATATTCTTGAAATTGTGTTCCACATTTTCTGCAATAATCGTGGTATTTTTAAACTCCTTTTCATCTGTTAATGGCATTAACGGAGTTTCTAGCAACACTTTTTTAACATTTGGTTTTATTGGTTCTTCTTCTAACGATTTATGTTCCTTACCGTCTGCAATTTCTGTATTACTTGCAGAGGTTAGAGCATTTGAAATTTCTGCAACATTGACTGTATCATCGGAGACCAAATTGGTATTAATAACAGCAGTTTCTCTACTATCTACCATTTGCTTATTGGGAATAAGAGTAGCAGAAGGGACATCTCTTTGCAAGGTTTCTTGTTCAGAAAATTTAGTTTTAACCCATTCCTCTGCTTCAGATTTCAATTGCTTTTTTATTTCTTTGGAAACATTCTTTTCTAATTCTTAAATAAATTAGCAATATTAAATAAAAATAACTGGAAATATATTCTATACACCATCATTCTATCAATATACTAACCGTCATCCGATAGCAATAGTTCATCCTCATCTGCTCCATATAAAACTTGATCATCAATAACATCTCCTATGTCATAATTCAATAAATCATCACTAAAAAAATTACGGGAAAAAGTTTTAATTAAAATATTTTTGTTTTACAAATGTAAAGAGAGTTTAAAAGTTAAAAAAAATTCACAAAAACTTTTTTGAGACACGCAGCAGCTGCAGTCGTTTTATTGACCTCCGCTGCCGCGTTGCTTTTTCCACATTTCCATTATTTTTACACCATGCATACACACACACAAGCAAAAATTCTATATATGAATTTTTTTAATTAAATTTTTCATATCTTATCCAAAACTTCTACAAAATTTTATAAACTTTCAATAAATTTATGCATTTGTTTACAATTTTATTATAAATTCACTAAAATTTATGCATTTTTTCTATAGAAAACGAAAAAAAAAAATTTTTTATAATAAACTCACTTTAAGTCAGACATTTTGATAATACATCATTGTTTTAATAGTGTGAGTATTGTCATTTATTCTTTCACTGCCCGTATACATTTTAAAAACAACTCTGTCTTCCAATAAATGTAGCTATATAAAAAAATACCTGTTCAGTGCACAAAAAATCTGAATCTTCTTTATGTCTGTAATTTAAATTGAAAACAAGTTGTTGAAATGATAATGGGATACTTTTCAATAAACAAAAAATAAATTTGCCTTTGCATATCGTAACAACGTGTCGGCGCATCAGCTGTTTGTTTTAGTTTATAATATATGTTACGCAAATTTAATAGCTTGAAAATAACCGCATCGGAAGCAATTTAGTAGCCACCAATAAAATCAAATATTAAATAAAAATTAATCAAATTTCGAAAAACAGGTAAAAAAATGTCGCTTATTTGATTTCCATGATACGTTATAGGTGACACACAGAAAAAATATACGAGAACTGATTGGCTCGCCATTTTTATAATTTAAATTTTATATATTTAAAAAACTCTTAAAATGTTCGCAGAAGTTGTCAACATTTTTTATTTATATTGGAAGTAAATACAAGTAATTCATATTCTATGATAACAACCCACTAGCTTGTAATCAAAAAATGTGTTATTGAGAACGTAAGCAATTAGTACCATCGCTTAGTCTAGTCAATACGACGTTGCTAAATACCGTAAATGGGAAAAATTGGGTCTCTAGGCGAAGGATCTCATTGCGTTCATATTAATATATGATGAAATTCGAAGCAAAGTAACGTTGTGTCGTTTACTAGATTTCTTTTATTTTTTCAATTTCCAATTAATTAAATCCAAAAGGTAAATTTTGTCCGCACGACAATGCTTATTACGTTTCTTAGTCGAAGTATAGCTTGAGTAACCGCCTGCAATCGTTTCTTCCCAATCGTAACGAGCAGAAATTAGAAATAGCAAGCATAACCCTCTCTCATTTGAACTTGTTTGTTCCTGACAATCAGCTTCTTATAATACTTTTTATGAAAATTCACTTTTAAATACTTCAATATTGTTTAATAGTCCCATTTTTGATATATCTGCTGTATATATACATAATACTTGCGTATTTCGACCATTGCTGTCAAAAAACTATTACTAAATCGTATATAAAATAAGAAATACAAATTGCTTTTAGTTGTATAAAAAGTAATTTGAGAGAAGAAGTAATATATAAAATATCATACAACTCTGATTTAGCAAATGCAGCTTTGTTAAAATTAATTTTATGTTCATAAAAATATTAGCAAATGAAAACTTTGCTTAGAGTTTAAAAAAAAAGAATAAAATTAATTTAAAACAGTTTCACGTACTATATTTTTATTAAACATATACAATTTTATATGAACTGTAGTTTGGTTTAGTGTACATAAAACGGCCTAATAGTTGTTTTCGTCTCTTTTATTTACTCACAAGTGCTGCCAAATTTGCTGCTATCACTTGGTATGTGGGCAGCTCTTTAAAATATCGATTATAGAAAACTATTCATCATTCGAGTATTTGAGTTCATAATACCCACTAAGTTAATCAAGAGGAGAGTGAAAAGTAAAATTGTGTGTATATATATATGCATATATCTGTAAAGCGTAGTAGGTGAAGAAACAGAAATCAATTTTGTCAACTATTTTTTCAAGCGAAGCAAATAAAAGAAACGATTCTTTCCGAAAATTGTACATCAAAGTAGAAAAAATTTAAGATAAATTTTCTGCTCAATTATATTAACGAGTTACCGAAATGAAATTTCAATATAAAGAAGAACATCCTTTTGAGAAGCGACGTGCTGAGGGTGATAAAATACGACGGAAGTATCCAGATCGCGTACCAGTAAGTTTAAGTTGACTGTGTTTTTTTTTCTTTTCAAAAAAAAAATTTTTCCTTGTGATTCTTAATGAAGACACAAGATACCAAAATAATATTGAAAAATTTCCATAATTAAATAATTAAAAAAAAAAATTCTCAAGGATTGCGTCATATGCAATTTTTTTCTTAAATTAAATTTATATATTTTCATTTTTCAAATCAATGATGTTTTTTGTCTGTAGATATAAATGATTTATATACATACTTATCTACATGTTTAATGTATTGTGTAAATATGCATTGGTATGTATACAATATGTATATAACGTTTTTTATTGCTATAACAATGTAATGGTAAAGAAGAAATGAGTACGAAAATGGTGTTTTTGTCTTCACTGCAATAGATATAGGTGCGAAAGAAGAATATATGTTTCGTATAGATTGTGTGTATGTATTATGTATTTTGATTTTTTGTATTGTGTTAGTTTATATAGAGCAAAACAATAAATAAAATTGTTTTTCTTTTGTTCCAAGAAAAACAGCAGTTAAACGAAGATGCGTAGATATTTGCCAAACAGCTGCTTGCTGTTGACTTTAATATTCTGCGTTTTAATTTGCTTTTAAAATATCTGAGAGAAAGAAGGAATAAATGCTTCTTTTTACTGAGAATGACAAATTCAGGTAAATTTTAGTTTTCGGATGACAAATTTGTCTTAAAGGTCATTTTCAAATTATTCCCAAAATATCCCATTTTTTTCATGCCGTTTTATTTCTTTGTATACAAGTATGTATGTATAATGTAAATATGTCCTTATTTTAATGGCCATCAGCTGCCATTATATTAAATTACACAAAAGCAGGCGCGTCCTGGTTTTTTAAAGAAGGTTTTAGTGCGAACTTATGAATGAATTCAGTATTTAATCCCGATTTACGAACTCCTAAGGCAAAAATAATTTACCAAGGGTTAAATGAACAAAAAATATGAAGTCTTATGATGATATGAATGATTCGAAACTTAGCCACTTATCCTTGAGTGATTTTTTTCCAACCTATATACGATAATAATAAGGTGGGGATGCCATTCAAATCAAAATATGAAGTATTTTCAGTATATCGGATATCATAACGTAATTTAAAAAAATGTTTTATCAAACAGTAATAAACAAAAAAAACAACAATTTTAAGTGAAATGGTTCGTATATATACTTCATAGGTATACTGAGCCAATAAATATAAATACTTAAGACAAAATGCAAGGAATTTTTCTATAACATGGTGTAAATTATCTACACATTGTAGGAGGTCTTCCAAAATTATTAATGTCGTAGTCATACTATTTTAAAAGCTAACTTGTAATGAAATGAAGTACCCGATCCGCGTTAATCATTTATGAAAACCTAATTTAGGCACAAAAAGAGGACGCTTTCAATTTGTTCCTTCGCATATAAAAACCGAAAATTTGCTAAAAATTTAACCATGGCCGCCATTATCTATTATATCGAAATGACTCTTTGTCTTTCTTACCAGAAATTTGATTTATTTATCATTACTCACTAATAGTTATCAAATATTTCATCATATTTTGCAAACTTTCCAAAAATAATCCACAGTAATCGGAGAAGTACATTGCGATAATCTGAATACTCTTAAACTGTTAAAACTTCTTAGTGCGAAAGCGTAGCAAATAGAGGATTGAACTAGAATTCTTTTTAATGGATAAGTGGTGGAAATATCAATAAACTCTTAAAATCAATTGAGAACAAAGACAACTATAAATATATACGTAAATTATATTAAACGAAAATAAACAATAACAATGAGTCATAGACAAAGAGTGTTCTATTGCCGCCGATAATTAAATCGTTTTGTTTTACTTAAATCTGCTCTTATATTTTCCGTATCGTTTAGATTCATAGAGTGTAAGCTGTTTTTTTTATTTTTATTTTTTTTTATTATTTTGCACTTAAAACCGAAATTTTTGTCGCTTTATTTATATCGTAAACAGCAGATTATTCAGGTACGATAGTTAAGGCCTATTGTTGTGAAAGCTTAAAAGTGCGTTATGAGCAATAATTTACTATATATAAGTGACTCTAGAAATTGCTGATAGCTTTTGCAATACTTGGTTTAGGGGCGAAATTGGGAAAACAAATTGGATATCTCTGGCGAAAGAGTAGAGGAAATAAAAATTAAATTCGGTGACTACCGTAAAATATAGATTCGTTGAATTGCGATCTTGTAAAAAAAAATTTTGTAGAGAATTTCAAAATTTTTTGTCTATATTTTTTTAGGTAATTGTAGAAAAGGCTCCCAAGGCACGTATTGGTGATTTGGATAAGAAGAAATATTTGGTGCCATCTGATTTAACGGTTGGTCAATTTTATTTCTTGATACGTAAACGTATACATTTGCGTCCAGAAGATGCACTCTTCTTTTTTGTTAACAATGTAATTCCACCAACGTCGGCCACCATGGGCTCTTTATATCAAGTAAGTAATTCTGTCTTATATCTTTAGATGACAAAAAGAAACCATGTCGTCTATTTGCATTTTAGGAGCATCACGAAGAAGATTATTTCTTGTACATAGCTTATTCCGATGAAAACGTTTATGGCAATGGCAATGGGAACGGCGCCAATACCATCCAGCTTAATCGAAACAAAGCTCAACGCTAGATACCCTTTCTCTCGCTAACAATGTTAAAGGGGAAAAGGAAAGGGGGTTTGCGCTAGTGAGTTGTGTGATAAACAAGACAAAAAAAAAAAAAGAAAAAAATTAAATAAATTTATGATTAAAATATGGAAACTAAAGCTGGCTATTGGTCCCCTCGGCCTTTACTCTTCTTTCGTATAATAAATTCTACAAATTACGTGCGTGCGTGTGTTTGTTATATATAGAAAAAAACTTAAGAAGAAAAAAAAAAAAAAAAAAAATTGAATAAACACTACAAAAAAAAAAAAAAAAACCAATATATATATATATATACACACCACCTAACATTTGAGAATTGGTTAAATTTCTTTTACGGCACGAAAATCTAAATTTTATGTTAATATTTAAAATTTTGTAGTCTTTAATACACGTTTCCATACGTACATATAGATTAGTTCTACATCTATTCTTTTTTCTTGGTTTATGTGACCGTTTATTCCTTATTTTGGTTTAATATTATTTCTGCACATGTCGTCATTTATGATACTTATATAATTACTTTTATTATTAATTAAAAGAAAAATTACCAAAGCGTATTTTTTTTATTTAACTTATATTGTTTATATCTTTCAAATTCACCGTTTTGGCCTGTCGGCAAGAAACCACCTGGAAGAGTAATATAAAACTTCAAATGGTTTGTCAAAAATTGCTTTAAGCTCGTATGGGTTAGTTTTACACTGTTACATACAACCCATTTACAACCATTTGTTTGACGTTGAGGAGGAATTTCTTAGACGAATTTACTTAATACCAATCAATCGGGGGTTATAAGTCTGGGCATAGTTGCAATATCGCACTGCTCAAAAGCCTAGAGGACATTCATCCGAGGCACAATAACGGGAATTGACCATTTTTGTTAAGATTGATTTCTCTAAAGTCTTTGATGCCATTGGCTATAACATATTGCAAAAGCTGGAAGTTTATTACGGCTTCGGTTCGTCTGCGATTAACTTAACTTAATTAAATCTTATTAGGAAAGTCGGTGTCAACGTGTGCTAATTGGCTTGATTACGTCTGGTATCGTGCAAGTCTCCATCTTGGAGCCTATCTTAATCGGTGTCTTTCTAAATGACTTGGTCCCGTTTTGTCATGATTGTAGCATTCACTTCGATGCTAAGGATGCACAAATATATTTCACGCGCTTGCTTAGACTTGTGGAGGATCTGGTCCAGTGAATAAATAATGATTCGGGCCGTATTATTCTCTGGTCTGATTTTAACGTTTCAAAGCTAAATTCAAGCAAAGCTACGGCCCCTGTAATATCGCCTACAGGTTATGATTCCTGTTCTTTACCACGTATTAAAATGGTTGATGCGGATATTGAATTTGGTAGCGCGTTCAAAATTGTGATTTTAAATTCAACTCTCGGTTGAGCGTAGAGGGGCATGTTCATAATATTTGAAGAAAACTGTGGTTATTCTCATCTTACATTCCAATCTTCATCAAATTAAGATTAATTAAATATCTTGTCGTGCCGCCCATACCATACGGAGCATATGCATATGGGAAATTAGATTATGTTAATCCGAACGAACGATGGAATGCGATCCTACCTGATCATAAATACTTCACATCATCATCATCAAGGCTATTCTCTGTTAATGCTGTAAAGTTATGGAACTCGCTACCACCCCATATCAAAAGGATTATTAATCCTAGTCGATTTAAAATAGTTATAAAAGCGTTTTATAAATTATAATTTATGATTGGTTCTGAATCTTGGCTTTGTGTTATATTGTAACATATTATTTTGTTATGTCTTTTACATCTTTTTACCTTCACTGTTGTTGACTATGTTGTTATACCCGAAAGAGACTTTGTAGTGGTTAACTGACAAATTAATTATTAATTATAATAATGATTGTTATTGTATAATGAAATTATCTTTAATAATAATTATTGTTAAATTAAAGAACTTAATCTCAAGGTCACACTTAAGTGAGCGAGATTTATTCAAGTCTATAAATCTCCTGCAGCTAACTAACTATGAATGTTTTTATAAATGAATCAATATCAGTCAGTCTTAAGAAAAAAGAAGAAGATAAGTCAATTCTTAAAATACCGTTAGGTAGATTAAGTGATATATGGCGGCTTAGTTGACGTTTGCTTAATCGCGCTTAATCGTAATACTATTTTTTTTTTTTGTTTTTAAAAGCAATCAGAGCAAAAAAAGGAATTATTTAAAAATTCGTAAATATGACAAAAATTGTTTTACTGCTATTTGTTTTATATACGTCGGCACAAGCGAGCCAATTTGATTGTCCCTCGTTAAGCGATGGCGATAGCCTATCGCAGACACAATTACTGGAACGTTTGACTCATAGTTGCCGTTACGATCGGTTGGAAAGACCCATAACATATACGGAAAAGGGATCGCGTTTACCTGTCGATGTTTATGTGCGTTGGTATATCTATTTTATGCAAAATTTGGAAGCCCACGATTTGCAATTCAAGATACATGCATTGCTCCAATTTCGATTTTTGGATCCCCGTTTAATATTTCGTAAAGTATCTCCAAAACGTAGTCAACCGATATTGGGTGAAGCAAATTTACGTGACATACTTTGGATGCCGCATATATTTTTGGCGAATGAACGCGATTCCAGCATTATGGGTACTAACGAGAAGGATATTTTAACTTCGGTCTCTCTGGACGGCACAGTTATAATATCAAGCCGTATTACAGCGACTTTATATTGTTGGATGAGTTTGCAAAAATTTCCCTTTGATGAGCAACATTGCTCTACGTATTTGGAAAGTTGGATGTATAATACGTCGGAATTAATTTTGCATTGGGAACAAAAGCGACCGATAACCTTTAATCCGGATGTACATTTGACGGAATACGTTTTAAAGCAAATTTGGTCAAATAAGTCCACAATTAATGCAGATCTAAACGATTTAAGACATGGAGCATTCGCTGGCAATTACAGTTCATTGAGTTTTACTGTACAACTAACGAGAGAAGTAGGATTTTACGTTATGGATTATTTTCTACCTTCCATGCTAATAGTGGGTGCATCATGGGTGTCATTCTGGTTGCAAGCAGATCAAGCAGCACCACGTCTTATGTTAGGTACTTCCACAATGCTAACATTTATAACGCTAGCGTCAGCTCAAGGTAGAGTGAAAGTTGGATGGATATACCAATAAACATAAATTTTATGCTTACGTTTTGTTTTGTAGGCAAGACTTTGCCTAAAGTCAGTTACATCAAAGTGTCGGAAGTGTGGTTTTTAGGTTGCACTCTCTTTATATTCGGAAGTCTTTTGGAATTTGCATTCGTTAATACCATCTGGCGCCGCACGTCAAATGTTGATGTCAAAAAGTTGAAAAGTAAATACATTTTGAGATCAACTTTGTCACCGCGCTTATACGAAACCTCCACATTTCGTCAACATAATGCTGATAGCGTATCAATGACTGCAAGTAGTGCTAGTGAACGTCCTCATCCAGCCGTTAATTACAGGAATTATTTAACCAAGCCAAATATGCAGGCTGATGGTGGTGTAGCAACTGAGGAAACGAGAAAGTTTTATGAATTCGACATTGGTTTGATGGAAGAGGGTGGTGATGAAAATGTACATGAGAACAGAAATAGTTGGACTACTTTAACACCACAAGAAATATCACAGTGGATTGATGCCAAGGCACGAGTAATGTTCCCCATAGCTTTCATAATATTTAATGTGCTCTTTTGGACATTTGTTTATACATTTTAGAGAATAATAATTACATATAATACAAAAAAAAAAAAAAAAAAAAACCACGGATTTATGATTTTATAGCTATTTAATCTCAATTTGGCGTTACAAACACTTTACAATTCTTCATTGTCGCCTTTGACATTATTTGCTTTATGTTTAGCTTTTTTTTTATTAAACTCCTTAGCGTTATTATCGTCTGCCTCTTTAAGACAGTTACTTTCTTCAGCGCTTAGCACTTGCTCCGCACACAAATGTGTAATCAGATCCTTAACATCCTGCTTATTAAAATACCAGTCTGATATTGCATCTTCATATTGCTCGAGCATGTTTTCACATTGTGTCTTCATTTGGGTTACTTCCACTGGCGGCTTGTCCCATAATTCGTACGGTATGCCCAGCTCAACTTTCACGCCTTTTTCTACTAAACCGTGAAGAGTTTTAAAAGTCTGTGACATGCCTTTAGCAAAACGTGTACTATCCGAACGTTCTTTATGTAAATTATAATTTAACATACGTTGACACACATCTTCCATAGACTCAAGGAGACGTAATTCGCTACGCTTGTATTCTGTGCGTCGTTTGGGTTTTACGTCATCTAAAGAGTAACTAAGTAATAGGAATTTTGAAAATTTTCTTCAGAATACATATAAAGTTAAACATGCTTGTACCCCAATTCAAGAACGTCATGGGATCTTCCTGTTTCTTGAAGTCGATCTTGTAATTCGTTTGCCAATATTTTACAAGTCTCACAACGGTTTGCGTATCGTACTCCTTGTTCTTCCTCAGGGCTGTTACCATTTATGAAGATTAAGGTTGATAGTATTAAAAATAGATTTAAAAACATTATCTAGAAGAAAGTTTAACAGAAGAGTAATCAATTTTTACAGCTTTTTTTTGTGGAGTTCTTTACACTGTGTGGAGGCCGGTACTAGGGTTGCCGTTGCTTGATTTCATTATAATTATAATATTTTCTGCGGCATTGCCAGCTCCCATCGTATATACACATAAAACAATAGCAGTGGATGGCCCTACTTAAGTGAATGTTTGCTTATCACGGCACAGTTTATTCAAAAATAAAATAAAATTATGCGAACGCTTCGAAATATAAAAATAAGCCACTACTACTACTACTACTACTACTACTACTACTACTTTATCAATATATAAAGATAATAACGATCTGAAGTTAAATTATCAAATGTTAAAATTTCATCTTTTTCGAAACTTTTCACACAAATGTCAAAATTATTGTATGTGTACTTAATTTGTGGTTGTGTCTGTACTTAATATAAAGGCTATTGTGAATGCTAAACTTTAGTTAGTGGTTAGGTGTGCTCGTATGTTACGCGATTTAGGGAAAACAAAGTAAAACATAACACCTTAAAGAAAATCCTTCAATTATAAAGTTTATTAAATATCTTACGGAAATGTTACGTCAATTATCGCGAGCCGCCGATTTACCGGTTGTGTTAAGACAATTGCAAAAAGTAGGTCTTCGTTGTAAAGGCAAACAACTATCTAACTTTGTGTGTGTTGTATCCTCATTCTACTCTACTAACTCTTCTCAATTAAGTGGTGCTCTACTAGCCAGAGCAAATAAATCATTTAAATGTGGACGCCTTAATTCAAGCTCATTTTTTGGTTTATTCCAGAGCACAGCGCATAATGGTGCTGCCGCTCCTGCTCAGCAAACAAATAATTATGCCACTGAGGCTACGATACAAATACAACGTGTAAGTAGATAGTTCATGGTCATTTTGAAACAAATAAATAAATAAATAAAGGATTACATAATCTTTCACCTATTTCTTGGATAAAATCAGTGAAAGCATTGTCTTCAATAGCAAAGAAATTATCGTATATTTAATGTTTACATTAGATACTTCTTAGTTGTTTATAAATAAATCATGATAATCCTACCAATGCGTAAATTGGTTGCATTCAGTTAGTGGTTCAATTATTTATAATTATTATTTTTCATTTATCCTCTAATTGACTTTGTGTTGAGTAACATTTTGCCTGGAGTACTTAGCGCACATGATTAACGCAATTGTTTACGTTTCTTATCTTTAATATTTTCATTAACATTGTGTTGTTACCATATAAAAATAATATAAAAATTGCTATTACTTTAAACTAATCATGAACACATATGCATCATAGGTACACGTACACGTTTGTTGTCGTTGTTAATTGAAATATTTTGAAAATAATTACGTTTAAAGGTTAGTGAACTGTGCGAATAAATGCTAAAATGGATGCTATCCTCGCAAAACTATTATTCGAAATTTTAAAGATTAATTTCAAAGAGTCAAAATTTATGTTTTATTTTGAAGACTTTCTTTTCAAGTATTGCATGCTTTATATTAACTTTCTGTCGTAACTGTTTTTCTTTAAAAAGAATTTTCTACGATAAAGTTGTTTTATCCTATAGCAAAAATTCTCTCTTGTTGCACATATTGCACATATACTTGGAATTGTTATTCAACGAATGCAAATCGAAATTTATAAAGGCCTTGGTTACTAATCTCAACCGTTGACGAAAGCGATCACAATCTCCGTAATGGAATTTCTGAAAGTGCTTTCGACCAATCTTTTGCCTCCAGAATTATTTTTTCCTTAAGGTCGAAACCATTGCAGCCCTGTACAAAAATTGTTTTTTTTATAAATTTTTTTTTTTGGGATACAAAGAATATTAATATTCAAGGATGCTATTAAGAAAAAATTTAAATATTCAACATCAAAAGATTTAAATTAAAGGTATCTTTAAATTGAAGAGGTCTGGGGCAAGAATTATTTTCAATTGCCCTCAGCAGTCTTTGAGCCTATCCCCTGAATGAGGGCATGGTTATAGACCACCCGAGCTAGCAAAAACCGGAAACTGTTTTAGACACGGTTGTGCTCTCAAAACAACATTATCGACCTGGCTTGTTAATTTTTTTTATACAAGACCACATGTTAAAAATTCAAAGCTCTTGGGTTAAATACGTTAAAGTTCGTTCCTTGGTTTCTAAATAAAAATCATGAATTCAAAGATATTTTTAATTCATTGCCATATCGTAAATCGATTGATTGAATACCTAATCATTCTATTCAAAGTCCGAATATTCGAATATTAATTTTCTTTGCCGCTAAAGCTTTAAAATAACGTATAAAAGCCGCTGCGTTATTTCATAGAATCTTATTTTCAATATATTCTTTCCATAGCCTTTCAAGTTACATCGGTTGGATCAGGGGCCAGAAACTAGTGTGAAACTAACGAAAGAAGAAGCGTTGCTGTACTATACTCAAATGCAGGTTGTACGACGAATTGAGACATCAGCCGGCAATTTGTACAAAGAAAAGATTATACGAGGCTTTTGTCATTTGTATTCAGGGCAGGAAGCATGCGCTGTGGGTAAGCAAGCACGATGTCGGAATATGTTCGGTTATTTTCATATAATAATTTAATGCAGGCATGAAAGCAGCCATGACTGATGTGGACAATATTATATCTGCTTACCGTGTTCATGGATGGACTTATTTGATGGGTGTATCACCTCTTAGTGTGTTGGCGGAATTGACTGGACGTCAGAAAGGTTGCTCTCTTGGCAAAGGGGGCTCAATGCACATGTACGGTCGAAACTTTTATGGTGGTAATGGTATTGTCGGGGCTCAGGTAAAATGATTTATCTACAAATACAATTAACGGATCTTCAATAAGGCAAATAAACTTTTTAGGTCCCTTTGGGGGCTGGTGTGGCACTTGCCTGCCAATATAAGGGAAACGGCGGCATGTGTTATGCTTTGTACGGCGATGGTGCCTCTAATCAAGGCCAAGTCTTTGAAGCCTATAATATGGCTTACCTGTGGCGTTTGCCCGTGATTTTTGTCTGTGAAAATAATAATTATGGTATGGGTACAAGTGCTGAACGTTCGTCATGTAATACCGATTATTACACGCGCGGCGATGTTGTACCTGGTATTTGGGTCGATGGCATGGATGTGTTGGCCGTGCGTAGTGCCTCCTTATTTGCTCGTGAATATGCAACAAAAAAAGGCCCCATTGTTTTGGAAACAAATACTTATCGTTATTCTGGTCATTCAATGTCGGATCCAGGTACGAGCTATCGTACCCGTGAAGAGATACAAGAAGTGAGATCAAAACGTGATCCAATATCATCTTTTAAAGAACTTTGTATAGAACATGGCTTAATATCCGCCGATGAAATTAAGGTTAGTACCGCTTCGTTCATAAAACATCGAGAGATGATATTTATTGATGGTTTGTTTTCCTAGGTTATTGACAATAAAGTGCGTAAAGAAGTTGACGAAGCTACGGCACAAGCTAAAGCCGATGCTGAATTGCCTCTGCAAGGTTTATGGACCGATGTTTATGCGAATTGTTTAGAACCAAAAATACGTGGTGCTATTGATTACGACATCGATCATATACAACAAAATAAAGGCATTAATCACTAGACAATAATTCCTGCTCACTTTCTTTGCTAATAAAAGCTTTTTTAATTCATGTTTTCTATGGCTTCTGTATAGATAAATTTCTACCTTTGTTAATGTTAACTTATTAAAATGTAATTGGCCAACATATACGCGAAACATATTGGAAGTAATTAATGCGACCATATGTTAAGTAATTAAAGTTTTGAATGTGTTTAGGAAATTAAAGGAAGAATTTGTAAAAAAAAAAAAAGAAAAAAGAAAAAATTGAAATATAAAAAAACATTGTTATCTTTCGAAAGGAAGTTTTCATCCAGTTCACCGAATCTTTCGAAATGTTTATTTGCTGTTGATCCTGATTTCGCATAAAGAGCTGAAACGGAGATAAGTTCCGTTTTTTTTTTTTTTTCAAAAACTAATTAATTATCATTGTTTAAGATTTCAACGAATTTCCTTATTTGCTCGTTGCGAGTTAAGGAAACTAAGCTTTAAATCCCAAAGTACTAATGTTACAATTTGTTCATTTATTGCTACGAGCGATGCAGGCAAAGGACGTTTTTCAAACTATTGTTAATCTTCCTTTATGGAATATAGTATCTAATGCAATTTTTTCAAGATAACTATTATGACTTCAAGTAAACATGTTTTCCGATTAATAATATATTTTTGATTTTCTTTGCAATTCGAGAAAAATTAAAAAAGAAAAAAAAAAAAAAAAAAAAAAAAAAGAAACAATACTTTTAATTGTTCTGACATTGAAAATTAAGTTTCAAAATTTTTACATGTGAATTAACTTAATTTAAAAACAAATCTTTAGTCCCTTCCCGGATGAAAATGCTGTTGGGTGTGCAACGCGCTCTTAGACAAAATGTTAGTCATCAGTTGCTAATACGTAAAGCTTCCTTTTTAGATCAGTTTTGCAAGGACGCCGATAATAATAAGGATAAGACGGACAAACCTGACAAATCCGTCGAACTGACCCTGGAAAATGTAAGTGATGTATGTTTTTATGTGTCAGTGAGTTCAACTTTTTTTTTATGAAGGCCTTCAAACTATACAATTTAGACGATGAGCCAACGGATTATGTAACATTGAAACGAAGCGAAGCCGTCAAATTATATACTGACATGCAAACGGTAAGGCGTATGGAAAACGCTTGCGCTGAATTATATAGACAGAAAGTTATCAGAGGATTCTGTCATTTGTATGCAGGACAGGAGGCTTGCTGTGCAGGTATTTGGTTACCCAGTTAACGACTTTTGCATGTGTATAATCGTTGATTTCCCTTGTGGACATAAGGCATGTGGGCGGCGATGAGGCCAGAAGATACTGTTATCACGTCTTATCGCTCGCACGGCTGGACATATCTTATGGGAGGTTCGGTTTACGAAATAATGGCCGAATTAGCGCAGAAACAAACTGGCTGTAGTCGAGGAAAGGGTGGTTCGATGCATACTTATGCGAAAAATTTTTTCGGCGGCAACGGTATTGTGGGTAGTCAGGTTCCATTGGGAGCAGGTGTGGGTTTAGCGCATGCCTACCGTTGTAGAGATGCTGTATCCTTTACCCTATATGGAGATGGCGCCGCAAACCAGGGCCAGCTATTTGAATCTTTCAATTTAGCCTGCTTATGGAAGCTGCCAGTAGTTTTTGTATGCGAAAACAACAAATACGGTTATTTATACAATAGAGAGAGAGAGATAGAGAGAGAGAAAGAGAGTAGTCCGAACAATAATTGATTCAATGAAATTTTTCAGGTATGGGAACTTCGGCTAATCGCGCTGCTTGTAATCCGAATTATTACACGCGAGGTGATTACATACCAGGTATTTGGGTTAATGGTATGGACGTATTGGCGGTACGCAGTGCGACGGAATTTTGTATAGATAGAGCAAAAACATGTGGTCCGTTGGTCATGGAATTAGAAACTTATCGTTATTACGGTCATTCTATGTCCGATCCCGGTACTAGCTATCGGAAACGTGAAGAAATTGAACAAGTGAGAAAGACAAATGATCCAATAACCAGATTTAAAACTTTATGCTTAAATTGCAAACTGTTAACTGAGGAAGATTTTAAGGTAAGCATGAAATTGAAAAACATGTTTCGGTTTCGAAACGGAAAGGCGTTTAATTCAGATTTAGAATAACGCGAATAAGTTGAAACTTGAAAGGGGTCGAAAGATGTGATGGCAATTGGCATAGAGAGACTTTTCTTGGGGTTCGGTTAAATTTTTTTTTTTTTTTTTTTTTTTGTATATTAAATCTGCAGTTATTGTAAAATTGGATGATGTAAGAATGGCTGGGAGAAATTTCAGATTACTGGCAGCAAGAGTAGCAAGCTCGAAAGTCAAGGGACTTGGTGCAGTGGGCACGCACCTTAAATAGATTTTTATTCCCAATTTGCCAGTCCAAACTTAAATATAATAAGGTGTTGGATAAGTTGTCATTGAGGATGTAGTGCAATCTAGGCGAATAAAGTGGGACAAATGGTTGATTGTTGAATGTTCATCGACATGAAATAGTTAAACAAAAGTGATAAAATTTAAGCTAAAGACGTCCTTGAATTCGAATCGAGGTATACTAGCAGGCATTCAGTAAATGCTTTGTGTAAATACTTTTGAATGGGAGAAGCAAAAATTTTTATTATGCTTGCAAATGTTTTTGCAGACAATTGACGACAAGGTTAAAAAAGAAATAGCGGATACAGTTCAACAAGTTACGACTGCAAAACTAACGGATGTGAAGGAATTGACTACGGACATTTATTTGGTGTGTTACGAAGAGAAAATACGCGATACAGTCGAACGTAATTTGGAGCATAAACTTGTCGGCAAACAATATGTGCCATTAGGGTCACCGACGCCTACGCCCAAATCAGAAATAAAAGATCTACCGCCACCGCCACCGCCACCGCCGCCGCCAGCGTCACCGCCAACAGAACCAGCCAAAAAAGATGCAAAAGATGGAAAGCCTTCACCTTCCGCCAATGGTACGGCCACTTTACCTGTTGATAAATCTACTCCTCCTCCTGTAATTAAATCTGCTCCTGCTCAGCCCGTCACACCTGCGAAACCGAAAAATGCGGCCGAAAAATCAAATCTGGTCAAGCCAACAAAAGAAGAAGTTTAAAAACTTTTAATTTTGAAAGTTTTCACCTTAAACAAGCCTGAACAAAAATTGATTTAAAAATTTTAATTCCTTGAATTAAATCAACTTGAAGTAAATCTGTAAATCTTGGTAGAATTTTGTTTGCATAATGTGGCCAATTTATGAAAATTTCAGTCATTTGGCTTTCATTACATATTTAAGCAAAACCATTTATCAAAAGAAATTTGCATGATCAGTCTTTATATACCGCACTGTTACACTAGCTTAGCGAGAAAAACTTGTACTATTATTCTATAAAATTATTCTTCAAAAATTTCTACTAATTATGAAAGATTCGGATATGACAAATGGTGAGTACGTCGACCGTCTATTGGGACGAAATCCGAGCAAAGAAAGATCAATCTTTTATTATACATTTAAATATGTCAATCTGTTCGTCGTAAATATTATATATATTAAAATTATATGATTTCCCATATTCATTTACCACTGGAACTACCAAACGAGTCAATTGAATCCTTTTCAACTTTCGATTTCTCAAATCGTTCCAAATGCTATATATATAGATCGGCACGAACTTTGTAGCTCCGTTGCTACATATGGTGTATAATAGGTATAATAGGCGAGAAATAGCATTAGACAAAATCGACTGACCATAAGGGGGTATTACCCGGCTATCAACTGTTGTAAATTATGAATTACGTCAACTTAAGCATCTGATGTTGCATTTCTTCGAAGGCAAAAAAAAAAAAAAAAAAAAAGGAAAGAAAAATAGGAAAACATTGCAATGAATTTTAGTAGTAGTCGATCAACGGGAAAAGATAATCAGGACAATCGACTTGTGCCTCTTCATTACTGCGGATTGTTACTTAACAGTTAATCAGAAAAAACAAACTATGGTGTCGAGCTTGTCTACTTCTTCAAAATCGAATGACAGTAAATAGGTCAGACGGCCTTTCTTCGGATTTCGCGACAATAGACGTTCGTATCTTTCATTTTCGAAGCTTTCAAACTTGGAAGTTTCTATCAAATAACTGACTAAATAGTGTATATTTCTGATCGCCATCTTGGGAAGAAATTCAAGTTTGTCACTATGCTAATGTAGCCTTGTGGTAACAACGCACAATATAGGCTGATCATGCAAATTTCTTTTGATAAATGGTTACACTTAAATACGTAATGAAGGCCAATCTTTGTTGAGTGCATGGGTCTGTACCATAAGTATTGTAGGGCATAGCATTCAACTGTATAGTTTGATGTAATTAGGAAAGAAATTAAAAATGAATGCGAGATACCTATAAAAAATGATCATTTTGGTTTGGTAGATTGGCGTACTTTAACCCAAGCACGAACGCTATTGAAAATGTTTCGCATCAGTCTACCTTTCCGCCTATGACGAATTTTCGATTTTTCAAATTTCTCGACAAAAGATGTAAGGAAATGATAGTATTTCGACATTTTAAAATGTTATGGACAATTCGGTTTAGCTGGGGCAACTTGTTGTACCCCCTTTCTAATACAACCGTTCGTATCAAAACTGAAACCATTTATAAAAAAAAAGGGAAGAATTTTTAATATTTCATGGTGAAAATTGACATAGAAATCAATTTTATCGTATTTGGATCACGTAGATCTATTTTTTTGGATACCATCGCATATATGAAGTGTTAGGAAATGTTAACCATATATTTGCCAAAAAGGCTTAATTGCTAATGTTCTATGATAATTTATGTTCAACGTTCTATGATTTTTCATAAAAGTAATTTGACATAAAAATTAAGTGTACAAAATTTGGATCAATTGAACTATATATACTTGTTGGACCCGCCTCCATATGAGATTACACATGAATAGTTTGCCCTTCAGGAAAATGTTTAATTTTTGAATATTTTATGATGAAAATTGCTTCTTCGTGGCAATCTATCAAAGAAATTAACGGTAGGGCATTTGAATCGCTTAGGTCTATTTCTTAGATCGCAACATATATAGAGAGGTTATGAAAAGCATATCTCTATATGAGGAGAAAGTGTAATTTCTATGACGGAAACTGAAAAATAATAACATTTTTGGTGAGTAAGTTCACGTAATGTAATGCTTTGGTTATTCGCTAATATGTGGGCATTCATGAGAAATACGCCTATATATATATAATATGTATATATATAATATGTAATTTTTGATGTATTATCACCAAAACGAACGAATAACTGAACTAAGTAAATTGATGTAGGGTATCTATCAGTTGGCCAAGCCCGTCTATAATGTCCTTATTTGTTTCTCAGCACATCGGTTAGTATATAAAAGAAGTTGGATGTCATCAGGTACGATATTAATCTTTAATTGCCCAGGAAGTGGACGTCGCTCGCAATAGAAATTTTTTTTTGGAATATATATTCGAAATTTTAAAAGAAAAAGACATTTCTTTTAGATTATGAACGTTTTCACTCATATTTTACACTTCATTGAAAGTATCTAGGAATAATAAAAAATAGCAAAAAAAAAAAAAAAAAAAAAAAAAAAAAAAAAAAAAAAAAAAAAAAAATATTTTGAAAATTTAGAGTGGGTGATCCCCCGTTAAGGAAAAATATTCATTTGCAGATACGCGAAGAGGTAATGCCAGTAAAAGCTAGCAAAGCTTTTTTTTTTTCTATTATGCTTTTTTTAAGATTTCATCCTAACGTAAAGAAAAATCATCAACAGCTGCTAAAAGCGACGGCACTAGACAGCTGTTTAATCAAATCGATCTAGTTGTCTAGTTGATCGTGCAGCGTTTAATACACAGTTAGTCAGCGATGGTTATTTGAATAAAGCAAACGTTTAATATTTGAATAAAAAATAAATCAAAATTCAAATAAAATTTAAATTAATAATTAAATAAATTTAGATGAAATTAAAAAAAATATTATTAAGAAAATAAACCCAAAGGTATATAATTAAGGTTGATGATAAAAAATTAAAAAAAAAAAAAAAAAAAAAAAAAAATTAAAAATAAAAAATAAAAATATAAAAAAGCAAAATAATTTTAATAATTACAAGCGAAACGAAAATATTTAAGTCAATAAGAATATTTACGTAAATAAAAGTGAAAATTAATCGACATCAGTAGTACATCAAGAAACCGAGTGAGACAATTTTATTTGAACTTAAAACGAATATTTCGAATTCGATTTATCGCATAGCTTTTAATATAATAATTGGAAGAGACATTCATTTGTACATGAATAGAAAATTTATTTGACTTAGATCGGATATTGTGAACGTAAAATTAGGCGCGCGTTCACTGAGACTGCAAACAATGTAATACACTAGAAATATTTCCCAACCATACCTACAGTATACATATATATTATATCGTTTTCATATTTTTCACATATATATATTTTTTCCATTTTTTTTTTTTTTTTTACATAACTAATGTTCGAGTTCTATAGCTGACATTGGACGGATTGATTGATAATCAGATGTATATAGAATTTATCTAACGGCTTAGCTGCCAATTTTTATAGCGTAATTCAGATATACGGCAACTAGTAAAGCTCTAGTCGACTGTAATGGACATAATTTACAAAGTATGTCTTTATTTGATACCATTTTATGGGAAAGATAGATGAGAATAGATTTTTCATTCCTTAGAAATCTGATGTATACATTTATATATATGTATACAGAGAGCTTTCCTAATTGCTTCGTATTTTATATATTTCTTTAACCTGCCATTCATTCCTTCGTAAGTATAATGATAATGGTTTGGAAAGTACAAATTAAATAAAAATCCGGCACTTCACTTATAAATTTTTAACTTTAATTGACATCCATTAAAATTGGAACTAGGCGGTGATTTTATTACATTATTTTACGTTATCTTAAAAAATTATTATTATTAATAATCCATTAAAACTAAAGTCCGCAAATATGGTTCAGATCGGCTAACTGGCAAAGCAAAAATTGACAAAATAATAAGTATAAATAATATATAATATATTATATTTGACATATAATATATAATATAATATATAATAATTTTATTAAAATAATAGTTACACCGATGGTAAAATATTTTTGGAAAGGAAATTTCTAACAATTAAATGTTCTTCTTTTCGGTCGGTATATAAAAAAAGGAAAAAAACTATTTTTGCGTCCAGCCATTATTCTCTAGTAATTATATAGGATTTTAGGATCGAATTTCTTTGTAAAAAAGTCGATTCTTAGACCGGCTTTATGGCAGGGAGGATAGTGTTTTTGAAATCACATACGATGGACATCATATAATTCGAAATTATTTTAAAAAACAAGTAAGAAAATTCTAGTCGGGCAAGATAGACAGATACCCTATATCACTTCGTCTAATACAGTTATTCACCCGTTTTAGTAATAACATACCAAAAGTTACGCATTGATTTCATGTAAAAGCACACTTTACATGAAAGCCCTTTGTAGGCGCTCTTTATATGCGGTGATATCCAAAAAATATACCTGTGTGATTAAAAGTCCGGCAAGATTGATTTCTATATCAGTTTTCACCATCAAATATTAAAAATTATAGCCACCAAGTTTCATCAAAATATCTTGAAAATTGTGATCTGCAGCTTGAACAAAACTGTACATGAACAGACATCAGTCGGACAGGCAGGTTTAGGTCGGCATAATGAAAGGTGAGCCCTTCTGCATATTACGTACGCCCTCGAAACCTTAATATATCCCCCTCTAATACAACATGACGCATTCGAGATCGCCACTAACTGCTATGCGCCTGAATTTGTTCGTTGTTCAAAAGTGATTGTGGTATTAATTGTTTATTAATAAAAATTAACCGCAATATTGATCTTGGATCGAGTTTTTCAAAGAAAAATGGGTGTGAAAATGCTCATTGTCCCCTTTATAGCTTAGTATATGCTTTAAAGTTGAAAATGTGCGTCAAAAACTTTTACGAAAATGTCCAACAAATCGGTGATAAAAAAACGCTCAGCTCCAGAAAATTACTTTTCTACTTTTCGGTGTTATAGGCTATAAAATCTAAGACCCGGTTAGAGTTTACATCACAAGATCTTCACTTGCTCATCGATCTAAATAATGAATATCTCACAGTGATTGCAATATTTTTTTTCAAAAGTGGTTTACATTCTCTAATGCTGCAGAAATTCAAAATTACTCTATTACCTCACCTGTGTAGTGTCTTGTGATTGAATTGTAAACTAGGACAGACGAGAACCTAAAACTAGAATATATGTCATCTAAGAAATAAAAACTAAGGGAAATTATGCATTATTATGGGAAAATCTTCTACGAAAAGTGCATCAGGACTAATGCAGATTTTGAGGTTCATTTTAGTCTAAAGATGTAAGATCTTATGTATAGAGGGATTCCGATTACTTGTTGTACTACTACACTTGAGTTAATGTCTATTGCATTACTTGTCTGCTTACCCACTACCATAATTTGAAAGTGAAAGAAAAGAAAAAAATTATAAAATACTTGTCTTTTCTTCCTTACGTTTTTATTTACTTTTCCCGCTTGTGAATAAGAGAAAAGTGGATAAGAGAAAAAGAAGGATATCCGAAATTCGCCGCAAAGCAAAGAAAAAGAATTTCTGCATTTTTATATTTCGGGTTTGTTCTAATTTTACAAATTTTCTGCCAATTATTAATAATAATAATATTAAATAAAAAAAAAAAAAAAGAAGAAAGAAAAAAAAAATTTATTTGGTGCCAAAAATATATTATGCATTATATGTGACAATATATATATAATAATAAATAATCTTCTCAGTTTATTTGTTGTTTTTGCTTTCATTTTAAATAACATTATATATGTAAAATTATATTAATATGTATGAGAAGAGATTAATTAAAAAAAAAAAATAAAATAAAATAAAATAAAATAAATAAATAAATAAAGAAAATAATTGTAGAAAAGGAATATAAAGGCGTGTTTCGTTAACAATCAGTATTACGTAAATCTATGCAAATTAAGCGGCCCGTGAAGTGCTTTAAGACAAATTGTTTATAACTTATAAGTGTAAAACTTATTAAAAAAAAAAAAAAAAGAAAAAAAAAAAAAAAATTAAAGTTTAAATACACACACACACACACACACACTCACACAATGTGGAGACGTTAATCGTTATATCTATATAACAAACAATGAAAAACTTACAGTTAAGCTAATCTAATATTGAAGCATAAGAGACGAGAGAGATTCTAGTTCATTAAATAACATTTATTCACTGCTTGTCAGTTAGTTAAGCGTTTCGACGAGCAAATCATCTATACACGTACATAGTTAGATAAATGTCTTCATTAGTGGATATAAACGAAATCGCACAATTGGATAAATATTCTACAGGCCGGTCATATTAATCAAATGTAAGTCTCTCATATATATATATATATATATACATATTTTTTTAATTCCAATGATCAAAAGACCTGCATAAATAATATAATATAATTTTTTTTGTTGGTGCGCGACAATTTTTATTTTTAAAACTGCGTAAATAATGAGCATTTTATCTCATGATAATATCCTTTAAAAAGCTTTTATATTGTTGTTGGGTTTTTTTTCTAATAGCACTTTTAAAACAAAATTTTCAAGCCTTATTTTTATATATAGATGTATATATGATGAGTGTGTAAGTAATTCCTTAATGATTATAATGATAATAATGATCAGAAAAGTGAAGTGTTAAAGGTGTTAAGAAAAATTTTAGGAAAATTTTATTCAAAAATATCACTATGACGCTAGATACGCTTTCTACGTTTTTTTTTTTTTTTTTTTTGGTAAGAAAAGCTGTGTTCTTAAAAGCAGAACTGATTTTAAAATTTAAGTTCTTTCTTCTTTGTTTTTGCATTTTTGATTAGCAGATTAAGAGAAAAAAAAAATTTTTTTTTTACGTGAAATTTTCAACATGTTCCCGAAGTGCCGCCAAAAAAAAAACAATACTTATTGGCATGTAGCAGACTAATGTCCTATCTCTTGCCTAATACACTAAGAGATGGCTTTCGATAATGTTTATTTTATTTAGAAAAATTTCAAAAAGAAAAATATGCTAGTTCAGTTTTAACGAGGCGGCCGAGAATGAATCGGGAAGAATCAGTGATTGTTCCAACATATCAAATTTAATATCATTTTTACAACACGTGAAATTGGATGCTGCCTTCGACAGAAGCAGATAGATCATCTGCGACGAAAAGCGATGACGACTACTATCTTAATATGGCCTTTTGCACATTGCAGCCGAAATGGAACATTTTTTGGTAACAAAACATCTACGAAAAAAAGCAATGACGGTTGAATAATTGCATTTGTCAAGGCATCTTCTCTATGGTCCTGTGATTGCGATTTAATTTCAAAAATAATCTAAAAATTATTTTGTTATAAGAAACGAACGCTATCTATAACGTGTACATTTCAAAACTTTAAACGGTATTTTTTTTCTTATTTTAAATGTTTTGAAAACGTCACCTAGTAGGACTGTGACAATTTTCGTTCTCTTCTTTTGAATTTTTTATAGTATATTCAATATAATATTCTAGGGTTCTTTTCTTCAAATCCAAAAAAAAAAAAAAAAAATTTGCCAAAAAACATTCTTTTAATTGTTTACCCACCCTCCTAACAAGAAGAATTTATTTGATTCAAATTTTTTCCACTCGTCTAGACGAGTAATTGATAATGAAAACTCTTTGGTAAGATTCATAAGCATTCAGTAACGCTAGCACTTTGAGCTTTAACTACACTAAAGGGTTCGGATAAGGTATAGGGTGTTAATTCGTTGTTACGTGTGAAAGATAGGCGCCTTGAAAGACCGATATGTCGGCGGTGACATGATGATGCAAATACTAATCGATAATTGGGCTCGACTGCTTGGCGCAAGTAGCCAACGACGGAAAATCTACCATAAAGCAATTATCGTGAACGTCAGGAATCGTCTCATTGCAGGCCTTTCTACTAAGAATTCAGCTGCTATGGAGGCTCAAGATTCAATAAACAGAGTTAGGAATTGTTGAGCAGACAGAAACGTAATAGTGTGAGTTGGTGCTTGATTTTATTGGGTTGGTATCTGCTCTTTGTATTTTAAAATACTATGGATGAAAATTTGGATGGCAATCCGAGAAGTATGGATAATCCGACTGCAAGACTATGCGTAATAATGACATTCATCCTAAGTAAGATGTGCCGAGTAAAGTCTCTTGCATTTCTTGAAGGATGGCAATGCAGGAACGATAGCGTTGCGAATATATCAATTGTGACTCTTTGGATCGTGATCGTGAAGTATACCAATTGCGGTATCATCAATAAATTAAAGGTAAAGGGAAGCTTCCCCTTGTCCAGAGGGGAGACTTTCGATCATATTCAAACCTTCATATCTAGTACTCCTATAGGCTCTTTTACTTGCAATATTGTCTTGCAAGCTGGGCGATGTTAGCAATCGTTCATAAATTACTCTATAAGCCTATGAGCGGCGGCTAATTAATGCAGTTAAGATCTGTAGGCGCAAGTTTATTGGTTAAGAAAAAATAAAAAAAAAAATATTAAAAAGCCCGACATCAGTGAAACTCTATACATCTTAACCTCTGACCACACTTCTTTCTCGCCGTTACGATATCATATGTATAGGAGACATCCCTTGACTGATTGGTCGATTAATTAAAGAACGTCCTCTTCATTGGAAACTTCCGATGGGCTTTTCATCTTAAGTATGTTTAGGGCACTTTATATGGTTTACAAGTTCTGACAGGAAAAAAAAAATACTATGATGTATGTATATATATATATATATAATATATATATTATTCGGTTCATATCGTGTTTATTAACGAGTAATCTATTTTTCGAACTTGTCCTCACGTTATGGGAAGGGTTAAACCTTAAGCCCGATGAGACTTGATAAAGGTTGCATAGGACTTCACGTTAAAAGCTCATCAGCCAAGCAGATAGGTAGTATGGTTTACTCGTTGCACTACGCGCATTAAATCAAGAATATATTATTTGATGAGTGAAATTTATAGGACAATGCAGTGTGGATTGCAGGCCATTACTGGTTTTAATGTATCCTCCAAGCAAATACACAAATCATGCAAGTTTCTTATATTAATCACCGATCTACCATTAATTTTTTTATATATATATGGCCAACCATTCAGGTGATGATCCGTGAAGAAGTGAGCAAAAGGAAAAGAAATGGAAAGCTGATGGTTGCAGCATAGTGGGTTTGTGTTCAATTGGGAATTTTTATATCCTTACCATCCAGGGGATGGTACAGCTACAGTTTTATCGACTTAGAACTTGCTCTTGTTATAAGAAAGTATCCTCTACCGCATCTAACATGGACTTGGTAGTCGCGATTCTTACCTACTCGTGTACTTGTCTTGTTGAGAATTTATTTTTTATTGCTTTTGTAATGAAATGTCTTCACCCAGAGTAACTTAGAAAACTAAATAGAGTCGAAAAGGATCCTTTACTCTAAGAATGCTAGTAATGAACGCAAAACAATCGGTTGGATAAATATCCTTAGTCGATTCATGATAATGAATTCCGATCGAATCCTAAAGTTGTACATAATTAATTTATGTCGTAAATGAAAGGCGATGGAAAATTGTAAGTAAATTAAGTGTAGGTAGAAATTTATATGGTTTAATGCAATGTGTACTCAACCAAAGATAACATTACCCTCGCTACGATATAACTGCACTTTAGAAACAAATGTTTCCTAACATTAATTGATTAGCTGCGCGTTGTACATATTTACTGCATTTTAATTAAACTTTTGTGTAACTTTTGTGTAAACGAATTAGTAACAGAAATATTATGAAAATGGAGACATTATTGTCGGTAAGAATAGAAATACAATACAATAGCTTGGCTGGAAAGTTTTGATGCATCCATTGTGTAGCTCGAACTGTTTTTTTTTTCTCATCTGATTATTCCTTCATTTGCTAGCTACCTCAAAAGGAGATTTGAACAAATCATTTGGCTTAATTTCTGTTTGCTCAGAAATATTAGAAATTCTGCAGTGATGTCATAACAGTTTTACAAGAAAAATGGGAAAAATTTATCGATGAAAAATGCATGCGTTTTTTTTTTTTTTTAAATAAATATTTTATTTCAAATATAGGAATAATTGGTTTGAACTTTGATGAAAAAAGCCGCAACATTTTCTCTTGATCTATTTTATTATACGGAGTACGAATTAGTTCGGTCCGTTCTCTACGTACATACAAGTAGTATTATAATCTTTAGAATAGATCTGTTTTTAAGGTATGCAAGCTTAAGCTATTCAACTATTATGTTATCATGCGTATGCAACTGAGTTTTTCTGAGCTTTCAATCAATGTAATTTCTGTGTCAAACAAGAAAACAAAAAAAATTTGAAGCATACGGCTAGTAAGTCCTCATAACTATGGAAAAAAAATGGATATTTTGAGATATCTAAAGGCCGAGATTCCGGAAAAGGTGCACCACTAACATCGATGAAAAAGCTGAATGTCATGACAGTCCTGTTTAACTGAGTCAATTGAGTGAATAATTGTATTAAGCTTTGCTCCAACCGTCCAACCATATGATATCATCACCAAGGCACGCTATCAATAATAACTGATGTAATTGCGACAAAAAATGCCTGTAATATGGCAAAAGTCACTACGTTGTAACGTGAATTCGCTTATGTTTCTCTTTAACTCTTTTTAGGTTTCAGTTCGTATCACTGGATTGGGATTTTGTGATTTAGTTTAACATGGGAAGATATACTTGCAAAAGGCTTATTTATAGCAAATCAATTCTTTTTTTAGCTTTGCCGTCCACTTGATTATTACAATTCAACTCTCTCGACTCAGTCGACTTTACTTTCCGCAACTTTACTACTTTACGTATAACCGCCTCTTACAAGTCAAGTTGCATTATGACATTGTGATTGCAAATCCCTTTTTGCCTGGAAAATATTCTACGAATTTTTGTTGATCTCTTCGTCAGTTGTCAGCTGCGTAGGCAGATACGGCATCATGAATGTGTATTTGGCTTCACTATTATCACAATCGGGTTTCTTCGAAGATCGGTCAATTTTCACACATGCACACTCTTTTCATTAAATGTCGAATTATCGTAATAATATCATATCATGTGTTTTTAATATGAAGGAATTCGACCTTATATGGTAATGAAACTCGCTTACGTTATATTTGAAGTTCTAACCTGCAACGTTCTAATCTGTCTGCTTTTATCCGCAGATATTACTCCTTCCAATTGATGTGATTGAGTTGCAATGGATGAGTGATTGTTTGCGCGAATGGCGTTTCGATTTTTTATGAGTCTACCCTACTATGGGTTCTTTTGAGTTTAATCTTAATTTGAAAATTGCCTGAGACGTGGG